AAGGTTGAAGGGAAAATGTTGTTCAACTGCATTAATTTGATAAATAAATACATCCAAAGTGACTTCCTTGAATGATTATAAGCTCCCTGTTAGCTGTACGGTGTACTTCAGGAGCCCAATTAAATTAAATCAAAACATTTTTAAAAATAAAATACCTGAATATTGTAAGATTATTTTAATTTCATGAAATATTGCAAGATTGTAAGGTTTGGTGGCTAAAAGCCCGAGAAAGTAGGCAAATATTTCAGGCTGTTTGGAGTAGGAGTGTCAAAGTCAATTTCACTGAAAGCCGCATCAGGGTTGTGTTTGACCTTGAAAGACTGGGGTGGGTGTGGCCAGGGTGGGCATGGCTAGGTCAACGTCACTTGTGTCGGGGACCCCCGTGGTAGCCTGAGTACTCTGTCAGTGAAAAGGGACTCCTGAGCTCTGTTGTCTGCAATGGTTGCAGGAGGTGGAGCTCAGGAGGGTTGTGTGTAGCACTTGCAAGCTCCATTTTCAGCTGCAACGGCTTCCTGCCACATTCTACCAGTGAAAACAGCATGTGGCCCTCCCGAGCTCCGTTTTCACTGGCAAAGGCACTGTGGGCCAGTCCTTCACTGTTTCCAGGGTGGCCCCACAGGCCAGTTCTAAGCACCAGCCCACAGGCCTTGAGTTTGACACTGTTAGGAATGATAGTCACCTAACAGTTGGGTTGGCAATATACAAACCAGGACAGTCATTTAATACTGTTGTATCTTTAAGAGAATGTTGTAATTGTGATTGGCTGAGGTTCCTCCAACAGCCATAAGATGGAGCCAGAAACCTGGTTCGTTCTTTTGGTTTCCTTTGTTTCTTTTTGCCTTTTGCCTAATCGTCATTCTGCTTGAATTGCTGTGAGTCTTGCAACTGTTCACAAACTCTGTTTACTGAATTTTGTTTATGATCCTGGTAAAGAAAAAGAGTTCGCTTTTGGATTATCTCTGGACTGATTGTTTTGAATACTAACTGCTTTAATTGTGTATGATTTGGACCGTTTGTTCGACTTTGTTTACCCATTTACTGGAAGTAAAACTTACATTTTACTATTCAGTGTATCTGTGTGCTGTTTGTGTGTTATTCATCACCACTCTCACTATGATTCCCTGAGTGCACTCATTCTCCTAACGGGGAGTACCTCAACAGACACCCTGGTTTAGAGAGAGTGCCAGATCAGAAGCTTAGGTTGGGCAGTGAAATCAGAAAGGCTGCTGAGCTCCAGAGATCATATAGCCAGATAATCAAAGGGAAGTTGGAAGCATGTGGCTATTATTACCTTTATTGTCAGACTACAATATGTGTACAATGAGATTGGTTGAGCCTCCCTTCATGCAAAAAACACAAAAAAACAATTCACAGTGAGGACAGAAGTTATTCAGGACAGGGTAAACGTTCCCTTTGAAACTTTCATTTTATCGCTTAAGCCTGATCATATGCTGATACTGGCTTGGTATCAGCAATTATGGCTGCCAATAACTCCATAAAAATACTGATAAGTGCAATTGGCCATCTTGTAATATAATCTTAGGCAAAGATCATTGACCTTTCTTGTATTTTCATTTCACACAGGGATATTTACCAAACCCAGATCTAAAGTGAATTTACTGTTTTTCAAAGGTTTTCGCGAACAAGAACCTTAAAGAAGAAATATATGACATTAGGTTTGCAACAGAAATTGACAATGGAAACATCTTTCTCTAAGGGAGAGAATTAAAGAGAAAATAAACACAGTGGATGACAGTAACCTCCAGAAGAAATTCTGCACTGGAATTTGGAAATGTATTTTAGGGCCCTGCAGATGCCAAATGCTGGGAACGAGACACTGCAGAATGGGAGACAAGCAGGGGTGGGATTCTACCAGTTTGCACCTATTTGCTAGAACCAGTTGTTAACATTCTAAGCAGTTCAGAGAACCAGTTGTTAGAAGAAATTACTGGTCTAATCCTGTAAGGAAGGTAGGAAGGAAACATTCTGGTGTTGCTTACAGAAACTGCCTCTCCATTAACCCTTATTACATTCTTGGCAGGTCTAGACTTCCTGTCTCAGGAACTTGTCTGGAGTTTTTTTCCCCTCCTTTGCTGGTACTTTGTTTGTGTAGAGTGACCATTTAAAGTTACAATGGCACTGAAAAAAGTGACTGATGACCATTTTTCTTCCTTTAAAAAAAACAACAAAATTTATTAATTTTACAATTAAAAAAAACAAATCTACAACATATACACAAATAACAAAGCCAAGAAAAAGGCCAGAAAAGGAGAAAGAAAAGGAGAAAGAAAGAAACGCAGAAAGAGAAGAAAGAGAAAGGAAAAAGAGAAAGGAAAAAAAAGAAAAAGGGAAAGGTTGCAGCATCACCAGTCATGAGATGCCATGCAAGGAGATGCGTGCCTCGATGTGAGTGATATAGAGCCAATAACATGACCACCAAGCCACACCCACCACCTAAGCCATGCCCACAGAACCGGCTGTTAAAAATTTTGAATCCCACCCCTGGAGACAAGAGAAATGATACATAAAGCTCAAAGCCAAAGTAATTACAATCTATTAAGACAAAGAAAAGTGTCACAGTAATTGGAGATTCATTATTATTCAGAACTGAAATAAATTTATAGGCTTGTGAAGTTTGAGGAGTGTTGGGAGCAAAGACCAAGGATATAACAGAATACTTTCTAAGACTTATCTTAAGAAGCTGCAGTAACTGGAAGTTTGTTAAGATTGATTATCTGCCATTGATTATCACCATTCCACAAATTTTCTCCATGATGATCTATCCCAGGGGTCTTCAAACTTGACAGCTTTAAGATTTGTGGACTTCAACTCCCGGAATTCCTCCTCCAGTCATGTTAGCTCAGGAATTCTGGGAGTTGAAGTCCACAAGTCTTAAATTTGCCAAGTTTGAAGACCCTTGATCTATCCCTAGCCTGGTCTTCCAATGGTAATCTCATTGCTACTGTAACAATATTTCCACCTTGCTGCCGATTGTCCTCCACTTATCTTTTCTTCCACACTTTCCAGGCACTAGAGCTTTCTCCAGAGAGCTAGGCCTTTATATAATGCAGGGGTGTCAAACTCATGGCATCAAGTTGTCATCATGTGATGTATCGTGACATTTTTCCCTTTGCAGAGCTGGGGTGGGTGTGGCCTGCGAGTGATGCATCTGGCCCATGGGCCGCCAATTTGACACCCCTGGATAGTGTATCAAAAGTAAGGATAGTTTGAACCTGGTCATTTGCGCTTTGAGTGAGAACTCTGAATTGTTTTGTTTGATGATCCATTTGTTTTCTTAAGATATTCTCGGGCACAAAGATAAGAATTATTGCTGTTTTTTCCCCAAATGTACAAACCACCTTCAAACACTTTTGCTAGCTCTCTTATGTCTCACGCTATTTTGAATAATTTCATCTTTGTTAATACCTCCCTAAAAAAGACTTACAAATGACTATAGCATTAGCCATTCAAGCCATTTAAATTAAATAGGTTATGTCAGCTTTTGACATTCTATCTTGCTCAAAATGTACCATATTTTCCCAGTCCTCCTGATTATGACTTTTTTTCAGATTTAACATATGCCTAAAAATTCTTTCTGTATGATTGTGCATATATAAATGTTCTATTCCTACATTCAGAACTTTTGAAAACACATGTCCTCTTAATCACAGCGATGAGTCACACATGACTAATTTGGAAGCACTGTTGTAAAATTTTTGCAGCATTTATGTAGGTAGCTAGAATGGGACTGATCCCAATCTCAAACTCCTTGAGTGTATATATTGAACATCTGAATAATGGTTATTCTCCATCAATAATTCCTCAGTTCTTTAGAATTTACAGTGAAATATCACAACTTTCAGTGAAGTTTTGCATTGACATCAAATAAAAAGTTAAATCCTTTTCATGCTTTTCAAAACCCTCTGACAGAAAAATAAAGCAAGGCAACAGTATAATAAAAGTTTTACTTTTGCTTTCTATGATTTAAGGTAGTTTCAGTTCCTGGATTCAGGTTAGCCAGGCTTCAGTTGGTATGTGGAAGTATTAATATTTTAAATTACAATCATGAGGTCAAGAATTTTAAATTAGAATATAGCCTTCCTGCCCCCAAATAGATGTAGCTGCCTAGCAGCTATATTCATGACTTCTTGTGAATAAAATTGCAGCTACTTTATAATAGAGAGGGTTAGAAAAGCAGGGAGAATGAGACATATTTACTTTTATTTTGTGGTGCATTGTGAATGAGGTATGTGAGTATTGGTGTACATTTGGGGAGCAAAGACCAATCTTACATGTTTAAAGTTAGATTGATCACTGAAAGAAAGAATAAAAGGACAATGGAAATTTTCTGCTTTGGGTTTTGGAAAGCTAATAAGCAAGGCACCAGCAGACACACCCTTACTCAAAACAGGAAAATGGTTCACTTTTTAAGAAATCACATCAGTTTTATCCAACCTTTTTTCCAACAAGCTCAGGACAACAGAGAATAATGTTCCCTTTCCCTCCACAAAATGATTAGTTTTCACAAAAACCCGACAAGATAATGATGGTGAAGGCCACTTTTAAATGAGACTCATAATTCAATTACAGACTTGAACTCAAGTCACTCAACCCTAGTTAAATATTAATTGCTAATTTATAATTGTGCCCTTTTCCCTATATAAAAGGCATTATAAAAAAAGAAGAAGGTGCAGTAGGCGGAAAGGTGGAAGCTAGAGAACAACGAGAACCAAGATCTACTAGAGCTGCAAAACCTACTTATAAAGTATAATCATGGAAGAGAAAAAAATGATTACAATTAATATAAATGGACTTAATTCAGCTGTTAAAAGAAGGAAAATTTTCCATAAATTAGAGAAATTAAAATTTGATATAATCTGCCTACAAGTAGTACATATTAAAAAGCAATATGAACAACTGTTGACACAGTCAAAGCTAGGGAAAATATTTACTTCTTTGACACAATGCAAGAAAAGCGGAGTGGTCTTATACATCAAACATACTGTTCCAGCTAAATTGATCCATACGGATGATGATGGAAGACTCTTAATGGTGGAAATAATAGACAACAATACGAAAACACTCCTAATAGCAATCTATGCTTCGAAAGAAAATCAAGACGAATTTTATAGAAAATTACATATGAAAATAATTGAACTGGACTATGTTAATATCTGTATGATGGGAGACTTCAATGGAATAGTAGACAATAAATTGGACTATACAACACAGAAAACAACAAAGCAAAGCAGAAAGACTCTCCCTAGATCCTTTTTTAAAATGATAGATGAAATAAATTTAAAAGATACATGGAGAGAAAGAAATGCTAAGACCAAACAATACACCTTCTATTCAAACAGACATTCATCGTGGTCCAGAATAGATATGATATGGATGTCAACAGAATTGATTGCTAATCTCCAAGAAGTAGATATTGAAACAAGTACCTGGGCAGATCATAACCCAATGACAATTAAATGGAAAGGACAAAGAAGAAGATCTAAGTGGACATTAAATAACACTATACTAAAAGAAAAAGACTTTACACAGAGAATGGAGAAAAAACTGCCTTTTTTCTTTAAAGAAAATAAAAAAGAAGACACATCAATGCAGAATGTATGGGATACAATGAAGGCATATGCCAGAGGCTTGATAATAGACTAAACAAGGAAAAGAAATATTATGAAAAGACTAGCCTCTAAGACATTAGAGGATGAGTATAAAGGACTTGAAAAAGAGTTACAGAAAATGCCACAGAAAAAGGACATTAAGTTAAAAATGGATAGAATTAAATATAATTAATTTAATTAATTTAATTAATTAATTACTTAAATAGAATTAAATTAAAATTGGATTAATGGAAAAAGAAGAATTAGCACAGAAAATCAGAGGTGTGAAGCAGAACTATTTTGAAGATGCAAATAAACCAGGTAGATGGTTAGCATATAAACTGAGAAAGGAGAGAAAATCAAGGAAAATATTGCAATTAATAGATGATCAAGGCCAAGCTTGCTATGGAAGTAAAGAGAAGAAAATCATATGAGATTATTATGGGAAACTACACACACCAGAGAATATTGATGATGAAAGAGTTAAACAGTACTTACAGAATGCTAACTTACCCCAGATACCTAAAGAGATTGAAATAATGTTAGAAAGCAATATAACGATGATGGAGTTAACTGAAGCACTTAAGAAGCAAAATAATGGAAAGGCACCAGGTCCAGATGGACTTCCAGCGGAATTTTATAAGACATTACAAGAATCGTTGAATCCCCCATTGTTAGAAGTTATGAATGAAGTTATGTCAAAGAAGAGGATACCCAAATCATGGTCAGAAGCTTATATTATACTTGTCCCAAAGGAGGACGCCAACCCACTACAAATCAAGAACTATAGACCTATTTCTCTACTAAACGCAGATTATAAAATTTTTGCTTCAATATTGGCAGAAAGACTTAAAAAATACTTAAATAATTTTATTCATCCTGATCAAAATGGATTTCTGCCAAAGAGACAAATTAAAGACAATATGAGAGTAATCTTGGATACTTTGGAATATTACAAGGCACATCCTGAAAAACAAGTGGCTTTGATATTTCTAGATGCACAGAAGGCCTTTGACAATGTGAATTGGCGATTTATGTTATTACAGTTGGAGCAGATGGGCTTTGGTAAAAAATTTATCCATGCAATAGAAGCTATATATCATAAGCAAACAGCAAAGGTAATGATAGAGGGAGAATTGACGGATTCTATTGACATAAGAAAAGGAGCAAGACAAGGCTGCCCACTGTCACCTCTGTTGTTTTTGTTAACTTTGGAAGTGCTAAATAGAAACATTAAAGAAGAAAAGGATATAAAAGGGATGAAAATTAAAAAGGAAGAATTTAAATTGCAAACATTTGCAGATGATCTGGTTTTCATTTTAGAAGACCCACTAGAAACAGCATTAAAATTGATAGAAAAGATAGAGGTATATGGAAAGGTAGCTGGTCTGAAAATAAATAAAGATAAAACAAAGATTTTGACAAAGAATATGTTATTAAGACAAAAGGAAGAATTGGCGGATCTATTGAAAATTCAGGTCACAAATAAGATCAAGTATTTGGGGATACATTTGATAGCAAGATGTAGCACACTGAAAAAGAATAATTATATTAAACTCAAGCAACAGATAGCGAGATTTGGCGAAATGGGAAAACTTACAATTATCATTAATAGGGAGAATATCAACAATCAATATGAATATATTACCCAGAATTTTATATTTGTTTCAAACAATTCCAATTAGGCTAGGGAAAGATTACTTTGAAGATTTAAATAAAATTGTGTTGAAATATAGATGGCAGGGTACAAAAGAGAGAATAAAACTAAAACTCTTGCAAGAAGCTAGAATAAGAGGATTTGGTTTGCCTAATTGGGAGTTATACTATCAAGCTACAAACCTGATGTGGGTTAAGGAATAGGTAACATTAAGAAATGCTAGATTGTTGACATTAGAAGGACATGATCTGTTGCTGGGGTGGCATGCCTTCCTATGATACAAGGGAACTAAAACACAGGGGTACTTTAGAAGACATATACGGGAGCCTCTGTGATTAAATTGGGAGAAGACTAAGAGGGAATGTTATTTGAAAATTCCAATCTGGCTATTGACTATTGAAGTATTTTCTTATCCTATAATATATAAAAAGGAACAAACAGTTCGATATGGTGAAATATTGAATGAAAAGGGTGAACTTAAATCTATGCAAAGCTAGAGGAACAAGGTATAAAGATGAATTGGTTTTCATATGCGCAAATACATTCTAGATATGATAAAGATTCTAAAACAGAAGGTTTCTATGATAAATTGACTGATTTAGAGAAGATCTTGACAGGTACTGATGAAAAGGTGATTAAAAAATTGTATGGATATTTATTAGAAATTAAGCTAGAAGAAGAACAAGTCAAATACAATGATTGCTTGGGGGGAAAATTTTGGATATGGGATTTAGAGAAATGGCAAAAATTATGGTCTCAAAATTATAAAATGACAATGTCAACAGCATATAAAGAAAATGTGTATGTTTTACAGGTGGCATCTACCCCCAACAAGAATAGCAAGAATGTTCAAGAACAAATCTAAAAAATGTTGGAAATGTCATCAGACACCTGGCTCATATTACCATATGTGGTGGACGTGCACGGATGCTAAAAGATATTGGACTAAAATCCACACATGGTTGGAAAAAATGACAAAAAAAACAGAGACTTGAAACCAGAGATATTTTTATTGGGAATTTTACCCAAAATATACAGTAAGGAATTGAAATATTTGATTGCAAATGTATTAACAGCGGCTAGGATTGTATTTACTAAAAACTGGAAAAATGAGAAAATACCAACGCAGGAGGAAGTTATTAAGAAAATAATGGAATGTGCTGAAATGAGTAGATTTGACATTTGAAATCAGAGAACAAGATAAAGAATTTTATAAGATTTGGGATTTATTTTATCAATGGTTAGACAATAAAACATGGTAATGAAATATGTAGATTTTTAGAATATAAAGAATATATAAAGATGTATTATCTTTATCATAATCATAATATAATTATAGATTTGGGATGATATGAATTGTCATAAAATAAATCAATTGAAATATGGATTATCTTGCAAAACATGAATAATAGTATAGTCAAATAATTGATTAATGATATCAATGTATTTAGGAATATTTGATAGATAATATGAGAACATATACAAGTAATTTTAAGTGATGACTATGAAATGGATGCACAAAACAATTTGTAAACCAACCAACACACTGTATGTACATGTGTAGAAGATGGCTTGATGTTTTTATGTTGTGTTTGTCTGCTTGTTAAAAAAATAAAACTTTTTCAAAAAAAAAAAGGCACTATAAGGCAGCTACATCTGTAAAATATTTAGTATAAAGTATAGAACTTAGTGCCAACGAAGTATAGGTTACTCATTTATTTATTCATCAGTGAATTGGATTTAGATTGTTTTGAAGTATCTATAGCAGGACTACTAGATTCTGTAACAGCTTTGTTCCTTATGCTGTCTTGTAACTCAGATTTTTTTTGCCATGTATATGTATATATTCGAACTAAACTATGATGGTTCTCTATCATATATGTGGGGGAGGGGTATATGCATAATGGTTCTTTTGAAAGCTGAATGCAACAAAATTTCATTTTAATGTATGCTGATTAGTACAGGGGTCCCCAACCACCGGTCCGTGGACCAGTACCGGTCCATGGAACATTTCCTACCGGGCCGCCGGTTTGCTGGGCGCCGCCATCTTGTTTGATGAGAAAGTGCTTCCGGGTGAGCTTTTCCAGTTGCAAAGTGGCGTTTGGGTGCTGAAAGAATCCTCGCGCCTTAGTTTCATCGAAGGGGGGGCTTCGAACGAAACTAAGGCGCAAGGATTCTTTCAGCACCCAAGGCAAGGCTAGCCGAGCGACCGTCCCAAAGCTGTCCCAAAGCGAAGCCCATCAGCAAAGGTACAAAGGAGGAGTTGAAGGTGGCAGGGAGAAGCGGGACGGCTGGCTGGCCGGTCGCTCGGCTCGCCTTGTCATGCGTGCTGATGCTGGTACTGGGCCGCGGATCATTTTGTGATGCTGGTACTGGGCCGTGGCACAAAAAAGGTTGGGGGCCACTGGATTAGTTTACATTTAAAGTGACTATAAAGTTTTTATTCTATTCTGTTATGTTCTATTCTATTCTCTAATTGTTTCGGAAGAGGACTGGTCAAATTCTATAGAGGCTATCAATTGCTTTTTGTTTTGAAGGCAGATTTTTAGCCTATCTTAAGGAAGAGCTGCTAAGGAGTACCAAAAATTCTGAGATGGTTTACCAGTTTTCCAACCTTGCTGAGTAGTTCTCTCTCATTGGTCAATGTAGTGTTTCTCAACTTTGGCAACCTGAAGATGTGTTCAGCTTCCAAAATTCTTCAGCCACATTATGCTGGCTGGAGAATTCTGGGAATTGGAGACCCCACATCTTCAAGCTGCCAAAATTGAGAAACGCTGAATCAACGTATGGCATCAAAAGCTGGATTAGATGGATCTTTGGCCTCATCCAGCAGGGCTTGTTTTATGTTTTTAGATACCAATGCTGATTGTCAACACATTTCTGAGCCTTGGTGTTATGAGCCTGACTCCTGAGGTTATCTACCATGTCTCTAGTCTACAAACTGTCCTCTTAGTGTGCAGAAAACCAAAACAAGGAACCTAGGGCAGATGCAAAGAGGCCAGCATTAGTGGTGAAGCAGAATTGCTCCTACTCTTTCTATAGGAAACAGAATCCTGTATTCACAACTGACAGGAATACCATGCCATTGTATCATTGCAGAATTTTTTATTTTTTTAAAAAGGAAGTACTCAAGGACTATAACCTAATATGCTAAAGAAAGTTATGGTATAATTTTATAATATAAAATGGCAATATTAAAAGACACAGAATGATACCTTTGGATTCAACAGGAATTCAAAGAAGGATACAATTAAATCAGCAGTATTTCATCCTGGGAATACTGGACAATGCATCTTTTGTATAGTTTTATTATAGAACAATATAATTATTGGTCAAGCTACAGGAGGGAAATGAAATGTGAAACAGGGTCATTCCATCCATCCATCTCTTTAGTATGTATTAGGTTCCTTTGTTCATTGTTTAAGAACTTGAAGAACAATCCACAACTTTTTTTCCTCTTTCACATGCCTCCCTCTTTTATCCCCTTTACACAGAGGGGGTTATTTTTTCTCCCACCCCAAATATATAAGTTACTTTGGGTGATTTATTTAAAGCAAGAATTCTAAACTTTTTCAGGGCATACAACACATTTTACAATTTTTCCTGGAACTCCTTGAAGCAAAATAGCAGATATAGTACATTTTCACAGTACAAGTTCCTGCCTTTTCCTCAATTGATGGCCCTGGCTGTATCCAAATAACCCATTTTCCCCCTCCTAAAATCTTAAATTCTTGTAGAATCTAGGACTCTGAGGAATCCTATGAAACAAGTATATTTTAAAAGAACTAAATAGTTTAAAGTGAGATTTCCACAGAGAACCAAATGAAAATATAAACAAATCCCTTTCCAAAAACCAAATAAAACCAATGAATTTTCATTATTATTATTATTATTATTATTATTATTATTATTATTGCTATTAGGGAAAACATTAATACTGAGGAAAATCTTGGTCAATTTTGTCAGCCCATGCCATGAGTCCTCCTTTGATATCCTTAACTGAAATTAAGCCTAGTTCACCATAAAGCAGTTCCTGCAATATTCTCACAGCTTTCTGGGAGTCATTTCCTAATTTACAGACAACATAAATTGGAAAAGGTACAGTGCCGTTAGTCCTCTGCTTCTCTTTGTGTATCTTCCGGTACAAAGACTTCAAACATTCTTCATCTTTTTTTTCTAGTTTATTTAAAGGCACCTGGAGGGATTTGGGCAAGCGACAGATCTCCACTTCGACTTGGGGACGTACATCCACCAGTACATGAGCAACCTGGTTGTCTAGAATCTTCTTGTATTCCTCTACAGAAATCCTCTCCTCGCTGGACAATAAGCGCAGCGTCCGACACTTATCGGTTGCTGAAGACCCACAGAAAGCTTCATAATCCTGCAGGGTGGTCAGGGAGGGCCGGTCCCCACACACAGTGCACTTGGGATCCCTGGGCCTGAGCTTGATGTGGCGAAACCGTCCTTCAAGGGCATCGAAGAGCAGCATCGACCGACTGAAGGAGGATCCCATCCCCGAGGCTATCTTGAGCACCTCCAAGGCCTGGAGGGAGCCGAGGATGCCGGGCACCACCCCCAAGACCCCACCGTCGGCGCAGTTGGTGACCGTCTCAGGAGGAGGGGGCTTGGGGAAGAGGCACCGATAGCAGGGCCCTCCCTGGAAGTTGTACACGACCAACTGGCCCTCCAAGCGCAAGGCGCTGGCGGACACCAAGGGCTTGCCAGCTAGCACGCAGGCGTCGTTGACCAGGTAGCGGGTGGGCACGTTGTCGGAGCAGTCGGCCACGATGTCATAAGTCCGGATCAGATCCAAGGCGGTGGCGGGGCTCAGCGCCAGCTCGTAAGGCTCGTACTGCCCGGCGGAATTCAGCTCTCTCAGCGCGGCGGCCGCCGAGTGCGCTTTGGAGTGGCCCAGGCGGTTCTCCCGGTGCAGCACCTGCCTGTGCAGGTTATTCAGCTCCACCACGTCGTGGTCCACCAGCCCCAGGCGCCCGACGCCCGCAGCGGCCAGGTACTGCGCCAGCGGGCAGCCCAGCCCTCCGCAGCCCACCACCAGCACCCCGCACGAGGAAAGCCGCAGCTGCCCCCGCACGCCCAGCTCCGGCAGCACCAACTGTCGCGAATAGCGCTGGATATCCAGCCGGCTTAGTCCCGTCCGGAGAGCGGAAGGATCCGGCGTGTCGCCTCCGCCGCCGCCTCCGTCATCCTCCGAGTCTTCCGAGCGGGGAAGACGAGCGGCCTGCAAAACTTCCATCGCCGCAACCGTCTTTCTTTGCCGGAGACCTTGAGTGCTCCTTCCGCTTCCGACGACGCGAGAGACGCCGCCGACACTCCCCCCTGTACCCGCCCACTGGCTGGCGGTTACGCGCAAGCGCGGTTGAGAGCGCGCGCGCCTTCTGTCATGGCGTCGGAGGCTCGCAAGTACTCGGTATTACTGCCCACCTACAACGAGCGCGAGAATCTTCCCCTGGTGGTCTGGCTGCTGGTGAAGAGCTTCGAGGAGAGGTGACTAGCAGCGGGAGAGCGGCCTGGGGGAAGGGGCCTTTGCTAAGTGTGTTCCCAGCTCCTCCCCATTGATGATATTTCCTGGCGGGTTTCCTGACTTGGGCTGCATTGATTTACTGCAACTCTCCCTCCGTTTCTCTGCCAGTTGAACGCGGAAGGCGCACCGCCTCATCCGAACAGCAGCCCCCGCGAGATCGTTGTATGTGACCTCAGGTCTTCCAGGGAGCTGTTGGTTTGTGGGGTGGGGGGGGCTTGGAGCCGAGGACCTTGAGTCCAAGCTCAATACTGTTGTCATTACAGTATTGCCAAGAAAAAAAAATGATATGAAACAATATGTTACAGTAAATGTGACTTTCCAAATAAAAGTAATAGGGTTAATGACTACACTTACTTTCAATGGGAAACCATTGGGGATTCTTCTCCCTCTCCACCTGTACAGATCGACTCCGTTTTGGACCTGACTTTTCAAAATAATTCTTTTTTTTTCCAGTGGGAATGAGTTCGAAATTGTAATTATAGATGATGGAAGCCCAGATGGGACGCAGGAAGTTGCTGACCAGTTAATAAAGATTTATGGATCAGACAAAATTGTAAGTTACTTTTTTTCCCCTGACTTAGCTGCCATACTATTATTATCAAAGTGTTTCAAATAGTTAGCATAGACAAATAGAATTCACTTTGAAATGATTTAGCTAATTGAAAGTAGCTTGTCATCCCTTACTTCCAGTTTCTGGTAAAAAACAACAACACATCCCTGGTAGACAATTACTTAACTAGTGTGGTATTCACTTAATCACTTAACAACTGCCGCAAAAAATGTTGTAAAATCATATCAGTCACAGGATGACCTGCTTAATGACCAGAATGGCTAGTAATTCCAGCTCAATTGCAATCATCAGTTGAAAACTACCTATTGATTCTCTATGTCATGGTTATTATTGGGACACACTCCTTTGGAGTAGGTACTTTTACTTGCAGGAACTGGGAGGGGAAAGAGCCTTAAATATAAGTTCACCTATATTTAAATATAATTATAATAAGGTTACGGTAAAGATATTTCCTATACATTCTAAATTCAGGGAATCATACAAAATATGTGGAGAAATACCTAGCTTTAATCTAGGTAAACTACAGCAATGTTAGGAAAATACAGACTAAAATCCATTTATGCAATGTCAAATTTTACCCTATGAGTATAGTCATTTTGTTTGAGGGAAGAACAAAAGAGCGATAATAAAAATTTTTTGGAAGTACATGATCATTAGTCAGAGCAGAGTATGGTTATCTTATTTTTTGATGTACTTATACTTTACAGCTATTGAGACCCAGAGCAAAGAAACTTGGATTGGGTAAGTAGTCAATAGATGATTAACAATATTGTATCAATTATTGAAACCAGTGTACTTCAATCAAGTATATTTTTATTTTTAAAAATGAATTTAACTCAGAATTTAATTTTGCTGTTAATTGCATGCATTGTTTTTTTGAGAACCAGAGAAGCAGAAAATATACACACTTATTTGGCAACATACAAAATTACTTTTGGTGCTACTCAGAATTAATCACTGTCATGTAAGAAATTAACAGTCACATAAAAAGTAGCAAGTGTTAATTTTGTAGCTATATAAACAGAAGATTGGCATAATGAGATTGTTACATAGTGGAATAATTTTTTAATATTTGTATTGTGTTCATGGCTCTCCATCCCCCTCCCCCACCCCCCTCTGTATGAGCTGGCTGGCTTACACCAAAAATAAAGACAGAATATTTAATTTTAAAAAGTCTATACACAAAAACAAAAATTTCCACAAGGGGTCTATTTTTTGTTCTAACTGGATTAGGATTGGAACTACATTGGTAGGAGGATGTTCCAGATGGCAGTTGCCCAAGATAGACCTGTATAAGCTGTTTAATCAATGAGACCCAACTCTTGTCAGATTCTATAGAATGGGGAGAAACTATCATATTTGATACATAGAGATGAGATTATTTTAATTAATGTCAAACAGTTTTATTCATGTGCATGATTGTTAAAGGAGAGGGGAATCACGGCTTTTATATTGTTTACATCAGGAACTGCTTACATTCATGGCATGAAACATGCCACAGGAAACTTCATTATTATTATGGATGCTGATCTGTCACACCATGTAAGTTTGCTCTTCTCTATTTTTTCTTCTTAAACGTTTTCTTCATTTCATTTGCCTTGATTAACCATCCTTCTGTATTTTGAAGTCCTTTGAAGATCTGGCTCTTTCCTCAAGCCTTTGGAAAGGACAGCTGATGGCTCCTTCTTCCTTTTTGTTCCCCTATGGGTTTATTTCGTTTATTTTTACTTGTTTTTAAATGTTTTAGAATTGTAAACCATCCAGAATGTGGGAATTAGGTGGGACGTAAATTTAATAAATTATTATGTATGGATAATCTATAGTTAGAGTCACCTTCTACGAGAGGCAGAAAATTAAAATTCAAGTCCTAATCAAGGACCCAAGATTGATTAAGGTGGCATCTCAGAATATAGAGAGTTCCAAGCAGGGGTGTCCGGTCCCCCCCTCCAAAAAAAAAAATTAGGGTATTCCAGCCTGGAAAATTTAGTATTTCCAGATATCAAGGAAGTTGTTTAGGTATTTAAGGAGTCCAATCGCAATTCATAACAAGGGATTTCTTGTTCCATAGGTGTTCAACTACAATCTGCAAGTCCCAGTATTTTTTTTTTCTGATTGTTTTTCCTCAATCCTAGCATAACCTAGTGTAGCCATATCAATGAACCAGACTTTTTAAAATTGTTTTATTTAATTGATTAATCATTTAAAGTGAATTTATCTGCTTCCTATCTCACTCTGCAAAGGGACAATTAAAAGCTTACATATAAAAATATTAAAGAAAATAAGAGGCAAAAGGCAAAATCAGTATCATAGTACCAGTAGCATTTTCTTCATGAGTTCACCAGCCACCTCCAGCAAAAACCACCCCCATCAGGACCCCAGGCCAACCGACAGAGCCAGGCTTAATATCCTTCCAGAAAGTTAAAGGGGTGGAGGCAGACCTTACTTGAAGTGGCAGGATATTTCAAAGAATGGGGCCATGGCAGAAAAGGCTCTCCTTCTAAGACTCTGCCAACTGAAACCTTTTGACTAATGAGGCATGTCCCTTCTGCTAGATTGAGTAGTACAGGCCAATATCAGGTTGAGAATAAGATGCCTGCTAGTTTGAATCTTAATTTCCCATAAGATCTTAACCCACTCATTTCCCAAACTTTCTCAATCTGGTCTTGATGGATTTTATTATGTTCTAAAAAAATTCATTTATTTTATTGATTTTGGTTTTATTGCTTTTCCTTATACCTTTTCTTTTTTTTATCCTTGCAGCCTAAATTCATTCCAGAGTTTATCAAGTGAGTAGCATTTTTAATATTTAAACCCAGGTCTTATAGTTTATTACCCTTTTGTGGTGTTTATTTTTGGTAGGGATAGACAATAAGATTGAATACCAGAGGAAATATACACTATGCTGTTACAAAACTGCACTGTAGAAGATAATGCATTTGTGTTGCATAGCTTGTCAACATAATATAATGTATTACTTCTCATCCAGAGATTTTGGCTAAACTCTTTCATGAGAGAAATAAGTCATTTGTTTCAAAAATGTAAGTCACAAACACTTAGGACCAGTTGGAATACTAGGAATTTTGAAAATATGTTGTTTCTTCTGTTTCTTATTTGTTATAGTTTACTACGATCATATCACTTTAATGTGTTAGATCAGGGGTCTCAAACTCAATTTACCTGGGGGCCGCTGGAGGCAGAGTCTGGGTGAAGCTGGGCTGCATAAGGGATTCCACAAAAAACGTTGTTAAAAAAATATCCTCAAATGTCATCAACAATTAATGATTTCTTCAATACATGAACTGTCCTGAACACATGGAACATTGAATGAAGATCATGAACAGTTCCTCAGAACATGGCTTCTCCAGCTTACTCCTTGCTGACAGAGACTTGACAACGCTTCCTCTCACATATCTGAGCCACATTTGGCTTGAGAGAGGAGGCACTTGAGACCCTCAGTATGGCTTGAAGATGATCATCAGTAAGTCTGGACCTGTACTTGGACTTGTTAAAGTTCAGGGTGGGGAAGAAGCCACGATGAGGAACGGCGGGTGGGACTTCCTTCAGAGGTCCATTCCCCCTGCAGGATGCACTAACATTATACTTTCATACCATGGTGGGGGCCAAAGGATATCGTCCTGCGGGCCGTAATTGGCCCATGGGCCGCAAGTTTGAGACCCCTGTGTTAGATAATTGGCAAGGTTCTAGTAACATGATTCACATGTAATCTACATGTGCGTAAGTGCTTGTTCTCTCCTCACCTACTGGATATTCCTTTTTTAAATCTTACATCAATTTAATTGTGCCATACCTCTGATGAAGTGAATTACATTTCACCAAAGCTTTGGCCTTTCAATAAAATGGTTCATCAAAAAAGGTGCTGACATTCCTTTGGATTTTTGGCTACCATAGGCTACCACAGCTGATGAAATAGTCAAAGGAAAATCTCTGAATGTGTAATATCTCACACACTACTGTGATAACTTAATTATCTTTTAATTATGGAGTATGAGGTAGCATGCCATACCTAATTTGATAAATAGGTCATAATAAAAATAACATTATTTACAAACATAATTCCCTAATACTCTGTGATTTCTGCTATTTATTTACTTTGTGCTCATTTAAATTGCACAGCAAATATCTGCATTGCTCAAAGTATGTTTTATTCTCTAGCTCTAACTATATACTTTGAAGATGAAAAAGTATTTTTAGTTTGTTTTATTTTTGTATTGCACATTAACAATTTTAGTATCATTGGTGTATTTATCTGTTTCTGGATTACAGCTACACTAAATATGTGAGTTTGTAATTCAGAAAAACACCCACTTTCTTTTGTCTGTCCAATGATTATTTATGTAGAAAACAGAAAGAAGGAAATTTTGATATTGTGTCGGGGACTCGATATAAAGGAAATGGAGGTGTGCATGGATGGGATCTAAAACGAAAACTGATCAGGTCAGTGTTTCATCTATTGCTATTGGACCACTAGCAAAAAGCATCTCATGAAACAGACCATTTTCTTTCTCTGAATTACTTTTGAGAGGGTTCCCAGGCTCAGATTCTAAAAAGATTTCTTTAATTTTGAGAACACTGAAAGAAAAATTCTCATTCTCGTTTCTATCCTGCCCAGGTACACATCTTTTTATCTAGTTTTATTTTATAAACATATTCTCCGCATGGGATATTCTGAAACTGAATACCATGTTCTTAAACATTCTTGAAAACTCAGCTCAATATTATATCCAGATTGGAGACGTCTTAACCTCAAAATTACTAATGCACTAATTGCAGGAAATGAAGGTAGGAGACATTTATGTCTCCATCCTGTTTGCAAGAAGCAAAACATTGAACTAGCATTGGGCCTTATATTTCAGGGATCCAACAGAGTTGTGCTTAAAATTATTTTGTTAATGTAAATTATGTTATTCTGTGTTATTCTAATCCTTTACTGAAACATCTTTAAAATGGGTAAATAGCTCGTTTTAAAATTCTGATTGCATATTAAAACATTGTATCTTACTTTGCAGCCGGGGTGCCAACTTTTTAACTCAAGTTTTATTACGTCCAGGTGCATCAGACTTAACAGGAAGCTTCAGGTAAGCTGGTTTCTAAATGGCACGGAACAATGATGAGCAAGAATGCTTCACGATAGTGGCCAGTCTGATAAAGAGATCTACTGAACTTATAAAACGGTTAGATAACATTTGGGAGGCACCTGCACACAGGCTATTGCTATTATTTATTTATTTTTTACTACTTATTTATTACTTGAAATTATGTGTGTCTGTAACTGACCTGTTGTAAACATTTTATGTGTACTGAATTTCAGGTTATATAGAAAAGAGGTTCTACAAAAACTGATGGAGAAATGTGTTTCAAAAGGATACGTTTTCCAAATGGAAATGATTGTCCGGGCCAGACAATTGGGTTATTCTATTGGAGAGGTATGCTAAAAATCTAAAACGTAAAGAACATAACTACATTTACATTTTGTGCTCAAAGTTTACCTTCTGGCTATTAGAGATTGAACTGATTGACAAGTAAAAACACTGAGGATTCAGATAAGATCATATAGCATGAGTGGCTTTCACTAAAGTTCAGTTACTGATTTACCCGGTAGTTTAAACACAAATGCTAATTGGCCATAGCATCATAAAGTTAATCAGATGATGAATCTGACTTTCAGTGACACACAAATATGAACAAATAAGAGGTGCTGTTACAATGTGAACATTTCTTCTATCATTTAAAGATGCAGGGATGAGAAAGGCACCCACTTAAATTCAAAGAAGCTTAATGCCATATTTCCAGCTGTAGCTTCTACAATTAGCCTGTAATACATCCTCTCTAATATTCCGGCATCATGGTAAATTTGGTCTGATGACTTCATCACTAGTCATGTAGTGAAGGTGAAAGTTATTAATCTCTTTGCCATGGTATATTTAAAAAGCCATTTTAATTACCAAGGACCTAGTATTTTGCCTGATAAATCTTTGTCTAATATTTTATCACTTGTTAAATTTCACACAAGTTTCAGGTCACAAGGTACTGCTTCTATAGAGAAGTTATTTTTTATTTATTAAAAATTCTTATATATTATTTTTGTGTTTGTGGAATTCTTAGCAATGTAGAGTGCAAAAACAAAAACAAAGCTTACTTTTTAAAACTGTCAGATTTTTTTTACCAGTTGGGAAAGAGTAAAAAAAGGTTTTGAGAAGGAGTTCTTGGTTCTGTGATTTGCCCCATAACCAGCAGTGAAACACAGTTCCTTTTTTCACTTCTGCTCAACTGGCTGAAGTCTATCAAGATGTTTAGTATCTTGGGATAGGGTTACATTCATCTGCATTCCATATTGTACATTACTTCGCTAGTTGTAGATTGTCTTAAATTAGCAATGTCTGAGAATCCTATTTAGTGTAAAAATTCTATACCTTTCATTCCAATTTGAGATATCCCCCTGGGATTCTTGAATCCTTTAGCCATGTTTGTTCATGAATTTATGCCAATGTCTGCTGTGTGTCAACAGAAAATTTACAAAGCAGTCTTCATTGGAATTTCCACAGGCAAAAACAAATATGCATAGAAATGCAATATATGTTTGGCAGAATAATTTGGGTGTGGGAATTTTTCCCTCCTTTTCTGTTTGCCAGTTGATTTCTAGCAGAGCATACTTACTGAAAATTTCTAATTGGATTTTCTTGTGAATTCCAAAGACTGAATTTGGGCTTTGGATAATTTTAACATATAATCTTATATGCTGAAATGTTACCATTCTTGTTTTGTTATACTGAAAATAAGCTGTAGCTTAAAATAATGCAAAAACAGTGTTGGCTATATTTAATGAACAGTTAGTGAATTGAAACCATGTGCAATTTCACAAAACCATTACTTCAGATATTTGCTATAAAAAGAAAATAATGCAGGTCAATATCTCTTGAGAGTAAGAATGTTTTACAATTCCTTTTGGCCCTTTGAGACATTATATGACTGTATTCTGCAAAAATCAGAAAAATAGTAATTTCCACAAGGTATATGAATTTACCACTAAATTGGGAACCTATACTTCTTTAGAATAGATACACTAGCCACCATAA